TTTTTCTCGATACATGTGCAAAGGCCAACATTTACTTTCTTTCTCTGGGCATGCTTGATTTACAAATAGCCTACCTAGTATGTAGGTATTTTGGGTGTCTTGTTACCTTACTGTAGACATGTAGGTCCCTACTTGTCCGCATTTAGGCGGTGCAAGAAGAGCATTGCCATTAAATTTCATATTACTATTTACGAGCTTGGTAAATATTGAAACATAGTTCAAAGAGGCCTGTTGGAAATAATAGGACTATACCACAATCTTTTTTTTTTGGGAACAGGAATTCAGAAGAACACATTTGATAATTGGATTGGTAGCAGTAGCATCCATTGGGATCTCATGAGATGCGTACCTAGTCTCCATATCTCTCACAAGAGACAGATCCGTGTGAAGGCAGTTACTCGAACTGATGAAACTTGTTGTCTGGTTGTACGTTGCCTTAAATGGAGCATCACCTCTTGGTATAAGATAGGTGTATAATATTACTGGATAGTACCTACCTAACCGGTGCCTGCCTAACCTAGGTAGCTAAGGTTTGGTAGATGAGCGCCAGCCTGCAACAATGATGGGATGTGCCCAGTGGTCAGTGCGCTCTCGCTCTATTGAATTTTCTCAAGAATAGAAACCCACATTTTTACTTTCCCAACCTACGTGCAATACATTACTGAGGTGCATGACCTAGGCACAATATTAGAATATTGGCCTGTTGACCCAGTTGCAACCCTTCTCTCTATTTCCGGAGTCTTTCTAGGTGGTCTTTTTTTTTTCTTTCTTTTTTTTTTTCCGGGCGGTGGTGGGCGTCTCGGGGGAGAAAAAAAAAAAAAAAAAAACCCCCCCCACCAGCGACGAGTGTGTATAAGGCGTCGATAACAAACATGTCCTTGTATCACGAGACTGCCGACATATTGTCCATCCCAGCTGATGCTGGTGGCAATCTCAAAAGCCGTATTTTTGGCAAGAAGGATCACAAGACATCACCTCAGCAGATCTACGCATTGGCCGCAGAGACCTGCAAGTGGAGCGCTGTACTCAAGGAGGTCATTGACAATGCTGGCATCCTGCGCATGGAGCGCAAGGCAAGTCTTTCCGCTCCAGTCCCTCCTTGGAAGACGAGAAACGCGCCGTCTTTTACCTCAACTAGACTTGCTGACCCCCATCATTTCTAGCTGACTCCCATACTCAGTCTCCTCCTTGTCCACGATCTGCTCCTGTCCAAGAGTGGCGTGGCTCTGCCTGCTTCACACGGGCTCAGGCTCTCAGTCGAGCGACACAAGACACGGCTCAATGCAGAACTGACACGAGTTCGCCTGAGGAGGAAGGCGGCGTCGCTCGATGCCCTGCGGTTGCAGGTCGAGACTGCTTTTGCTCAAGCATCACCAAAGTATCCACGCTGGATCCGCATCAACGCGCTCAAGACCACCCTGGACCATCAGCTGAAGACCACGTTCAAAGACTTTACTAGAGTGCATGCAATCGGGGAGGTTTCTTCCGCAGTGAGTCACAATTTATACATCGACGAGCATGTCCCAAACCTTGTGGCTGTGTCGCCTGGCTTCGAGGTCCTCAAGACGAGTGCGTACAAGTCAGGGGCCATCATTCTCCAGGACAAGGCTTCCTGCTTCCCAGCCTATCTACTGGACCCTCGGTTAGAAGACGGTCATGTCATTGACTCGTGTGCCGCACCGGGTAACAAGACGACTCATCTCGCCGCCATACTCTCGTCCCGTACTGTTGTGCCCGAGGGTCCACCTCCCAAAGTCTTTGCATTCGAGCGCAACGGGCATCGGGCCAAGACTCTGGAGAACATGGTGACCTTAGCTGGGGGTGATGAAATCATTGACATCACACCTAAGCAAGACTTTCTCAAAGTTGACCCCGACGCCAAGCTCTATCAGGACGTAGGCTGTTTGCTTCTAGATCCCAGCTGCTCCGGCAGCGGCATCGTTGACCGAGAGGGCCTGCCTCCCATCCATCTTCCCGGTCTCACCGGCTCTGCAGGCCTGAAGCCTGAAAGAAACCAGAATCGCAAGCGCAAGCGCAAGGGCGATAAAGACTCGGGCCCAGATGAACAGATCCTAGTTGACGACGACGGAAAACAGACTGTCATTACATCCGAACAAGAACTGCTCTCACGGCTTGACACACTCTCGTCGTTTCAGTTCATACTCTTGCAGCATGCGTTCAAATTCCCGTCGGCTCGGAGGATAACGTACTCGACTTGTTCAGTTCACTCCCAGGAGAACGAGGAAGTGGTCGTCAAAGCATTGCAGTCGGATGTTGCAAAAGCACGGGGGTGGCGCATCCTGACCCGTGACCAACAAGTCAGCGGCATGAAAGAATGGCCGGTCAGAGGCTCCGTCGATGCGGCTCATGGCAACGAGACGATCGCGGATGCCTGTATACGCACATACCGAGATGACGGCCGGGGCGTCATGGGCTTTTTTGTGGCTGCTTTTGTTCGTGATGGGTCACTGGCGAGTCATGATGCTGGAGAGTCGAATTCAGTAGCATGGCGAAATCAACCGACAGCTAGGGAGGAAGAGCCAGGCAGTGACAATGATGAAGACGAATGGGGAGGTTTCCAGGATTGAGGTACACACTACAAGACTGCATGTTCCATCTTGCACGAAGAAATCAACCCAGGGAGCAATGATCCTGACTATAGAGGGTACTTTACCCATGGCCACTGCCCTCTGGTTTGGCGTGCCAGTTGCCTTGAGCTCCAAACTATGTCCGGCTCTTTGCCGATATGGTTGAGAGTGCGCATCCCCTCACACAAGGTGCTGTCTCTTCTCATATGAGCCTATTGGACAGCCAGATTTCAATCCATGGTCCCGTCTCGTCAGCTCCTATATGCTTATTGATGTGTGGCCTGGAGATATGCGGCGAAATCCTGCACAGATGGATCAGCCAGTCTTTTGAGCAGGATCTGAAGCCAGCGCCGGCCACGAACGCCAATCGGAAGATTGTCTTATGATAGCAGGAGCTTAAAAGTAAGCTCAAATCCAACATGATCCGCCAAGAAAACATAGATTCAAGGACGTTCTTCCCGCCTCACGTGCTCGTGACGACGTGCCACCCTGCATGTCATATATCTATTTATCCCCTCTTCGTCTCACATGATGGATTGATTATATTACGTTCTGCAACCGCCAAGCCGACTGCCAGCGCCGTACCAACAAAGGTCAATAGCGCGAAAAAAGAGAGAGAGAGAGAGAGAGAGAAAGAGAGAGAGAGAGAGAGAGAGAGAGAGAGAGAGAGAGAGAGGAGGGAGGGAG